CGGCCTAGAGCTCTAGAATCCACATTTTTCAATACTAGTCATCTAGGCAATTCAAATTGCATTTAAGGACAATAACAGGATATTTAAACACTAGAAAAGGCACAGGTTCCACTCAACACAATTACTGTGAAGTCTTCTAGAACCAAATCACTTTGCAGAATAACCTTTGCTACTTCTGTTCTTTACCAAACAATCCCCCTGAAATTTTCATTTTTTTAATTAAAAAATTCGTTTTGTTTTATTTATTTCTGAGAGAGAGAGAGAAAGAGAGAGAGAGAGAGAGAGAGAGAGAGAGACAGCATGAGCAGGGGAGGGTCAAAGACAGAGGGAGATACAGAAACTGAAACAGGCTCCAGGCTCCGAGCTGTCAGCACAGAGCCTGATGCGGGGCTTGAACCCACGAACCATGAGATCATGACTTGAGCTGAAGTCGGACGCTTAAGTGACTGAGCCACCCAGGCACCCCTGAAAATTTTAAATAAAATCAGCAAAGGCCCTCTATTAGTTTTCTGCTGCTGCTGTAACAAATTGCCACAAACATAAAACAACACAAATGTATCATCTCACAGTTTCTACAGGCCAGAAGTCAGGTGCGCAGCTGGATCTTCTGCTTAGGGTCTCCCGACACCAATCAATCAATCAATCAATCAATCAATCAAATCAAGATGTCCACCTTGCTCTGTTCCTTGCTGGAAACTTGGGGCAGGGGCAGCAATCTGCTTCCAAGCTCATTTAGACTGCTGCCTGAGTTTAGTTTCTTGTGGTTGCATGAGTGAGGCCCCCATTTCCTTGCTAGCTGTCAGCAGGGACTGTCCACATGCTTTCCACGAGGTCCCCTCCGATGATGGCAGGATGAGTGAGTGCCTCTCATGTTTCAAATCTCTGACTTCTGACCCATCTCTCTATTTCCAGCTGGAGAAAGTTCTCTGCCTTCATATTAGGTTGGCCCCACTCAGAAAATCCAGGATAATCTTCCTATCTTAAGATACTTAAACCATAATTACATTTGCAAAGTCCCTTTTGCCACATAATGTTAACATATTCAGATTCCAGGGATTAGAGTATAGACATCTTGGGGGAGGGCAGGGTGTCATTTCATCTACCACCGCCCACCCTCTGACCTCCAAAGATTCCTATCCCTCCCAAATGCAAAATACATCCATCCCATCCTACATTCCACTACAGCATCAACGCAAAGTCCAAAAATCTCACCTAAAAGTCATCAATTAAAAAGTCCCAAATCTCATCATCTAAATCAGGTGTGGATGAAGCTCTGCCTATAATACATTAAGAACAACTCCTGGGGCCCAATTCCTGAGAACAAAAAACAAGCGACCTGCTCCTAATACACAAGGGTGGGACAGGCATAGGGCAACAGTTATAGGATTTCTAGTCCAAAAAAAGGAAGATGGAAGAGAAAACAGATCCATTGGTCCAAAGCAGTTTCAAAATCTGAGCAAACTCCATTCCATTTCAAAGTCAGAGAAAAATCCTCTGGAGCTTTCAGCTCCACCTCTCTGGGCTCTTGGCCCCACCCTCTGAGTCACCCACATTTTAACAAAAAGCAGCATACTCACACCTGAGTTTTACCAGCCTGTTTCCTGCCTAGAATCTGGGGGGGGGGGGGGGGGGGGGGGGGGTTAATAGACCTCTTTAACTTTCATACTGTGTCTTTCAACCCAAGCTGGCATCGTTTCTGATAGTATAAAATCCTCAAGGACCTCACATAAATTTAACGGGTATCATTCTGTTAGCCAGACTCCTATCCACGAACACACGGGGCTCCACCTTCAACACTGTGCTTGGAAATCTCTGCTGGATAGCCAGGTTTATCACTTACCAGTTCAGTTCTCTTTTCCCCCTCACCACAGGATACAATTATAAACTTCCCTGCCACTATGTAACAAGGATTCTCTTTCCTCCAGTTTCTAATGCCTACTTCATTTCCACCAGAGGCAACATTGGTATTTCTACAGTCTGTTCTAGGCCTTTTCTTTTTTGTTTCAAATGTTTTTATTTCTTTCTGACAGAGAGAGGGACAGTGTGAGCAGGGGAGGGGCAGAGAGAGAGGGAGACACAGATCTGAAGCAGGCTCCAGGCTCTAAGCTAGCTGTCAGCACAGACCCCGATACGGGGCTCGAACCCACGAACCGTGAGATCATGATCTGAGCCAAAGTTGGGAGCTTAACCCGACTGAGCCACCCAGGTGCCCCTGTTCTAGGCCTTTTCTATTCTGCTCTTCAAAATTTTCTGGCCTTCATCCACTTCCATATTTCTAGGTAACAGTACCCCACTCCCGGTACCAAGTCTATACAACTTTCTACCGCTGCCATGACAAACTGCCACAAACAGGAGTGGCTTAAAACAATAGAAATTTATTGTCTCAAGTCCGAAGTGTCTGTAGGTCACAAGTCGGAAGGCCTTTGGCTAAGTCTTCTGCTCAGGGCACAAGGCCAAAATCAAGGTATATTCCTCGCTGGACAGGCTAGGGGAAGAATCCACTTCCAAGCTCATTCAGGCTGTTGGTCAAAATCAGTTTCTGGTGGTTGTAGGACTGAGGTCATTCCCCTGTTGGCTGTCAGCTGGGGCTGGTCTCCGCTACTAGAGCTGCCCACATTCCTTCTCATGCTTTCCCTGCAGGCCCCCTCAAGCAACAGCAAACGGAGTCCCTCTCATGATTGGAACATCTGTTTTCACCCTTCTGCCCGAACTCTCTGGACTCCCAGGTGGAGTCAAGTTCTCTGCTTTGAAGGGCTCCTGCCAGTAGATTGGACCCATCCACGAAATGCAGAATAACTTCCTATTTTTAAGATTCTTAACTCTCAGTAGATCAGCAAAGTCCCTTTTACCGTGTAACATATTTACAGATTCTGGGAATTAGGGTGCGGACATCTTTTGGGGGGAGGGTATCCTTCTGCCTACGCGAAACCCAAACCCTAAGTAAGGCTTTAAACCCCGTTCCTGAAGAAAATTTCCCCTTTCTCCAATCGAGTGTGTGAAGTAAAGGTGTCTGTTCAGGGACAGTGACAACAGTACAACCGAACGCTCACCCTGTAACAGTGGCTAGGCAACAGCAGAACTAAAAATACACTGTGGGAAAGAAGCTGCCACTTGTTTCATCTCCAGCCGGCAAGGCAACAAACCCATTACACAGAAACTAACCTAACGTTCCCCTGCAGCGTGTGCTCCTCTTCTCTACTGAATTCCGTTCAAGAGGACATAACCAGGCATGTCGGGTTCTCTTTTTTTTTTAAACATAAGTTGCCCCAGGGTGACCTGACTTTGTAATCGGTTGATAAATCAATCCAAGCAAACTTCACATCTTTTCTTTCTTCGAACCATGCACCCTCCCCCAATAGCAAATGAAAGTCAAGTATTTCAAAGTCACAGGAGGATATGCGTGCCCAGATAAATCAGCAGTTGATTTCTTTTTTTAATGACACCAGGGAGACCTAGTATTGGGCCTGATCTTTCACAGCCCCACTGAGCCAGTTAAGTCCACTAACTTACAACAAAACAGAACACTGCAGCAAGAAGTCTTGCCCACCTTTAGATTCTCGACCACACATCTTAGGTAGAACAGAGGGCCCCTAAATATACCAGCTCGTCCCTTTAATCTAGCAAGCACTCACGACCTGCCAGGCCGGGTGGTAAGCACTGGCCACAAATTATCTTCTTTACTGCTTCCCCATAAATGTACGAACTAGGAAAGACTACCGCCCCCCACTTTACAGATAGGAAAACCAAGGCTGACAGAGGTTAGGGCACCCAGCTAGGCAGTAAGGGCGCTGATATCTGAGAACCCGGGCACTCTGGTTCCTTACCACTGCTCAGATGTAACGCAGTCTCCTAGCTCCTTACAAGCTCCTGCCTTTCCAGTTTTCACGTCCTCTCGCCATGCCCCCTTCTCTGCGAACTCAGCCGTTTAAAGGTGACCAAGTCTTCCCAAGCGAATTCGCCACCTCCTTTCCAGAACTCTTCCCTTCCCACGATAGCAAGAGTCAAGAAGCGACTTCTTCCCACCCTGACTTCGCTTTCCAAAAACAAACTACGGAAGCTCCACCCCATCACCTGCTCAGACTAGAAATGTTCCAACGCTGCAAAATCACCAACACCAACAACACACAAAATAAAAGTCGTACTCTTCCAAAAGGTCGCAAACTAGTATGTATACCGTTGGCCAACCCTTCACTCTACATACTTCTCTTCCACCCAGGCGCCCAACTAACCCTGAACTCCCCAACTCCACCCATTCCGCCCCACTTCGTGGTCCCTTCCCCCTTTCTCCCCAGCGACCTCGCCCGGGGTTCCCTCCTCTGTGCACCCCAGTCTGCAGGTGGGAAGCCCAACCCGGCCCAGAGGGACCCTCACAAGGCCCCCCACTCCAGCTGCTCCGCTTCGCGGGAGGGTTCACCCCACCCTACCCATCAGGCACCACTCCCCTAGGCACCCTCCCCCTGCATCCCCCTGTGGCCCCACCCCTCAAGCTCCCTTCCCCCTCCGGCGACCCCCTCCTCCAAGTTGCCCCCTAGTCCCCGCCCCAGTCCAGCCCTCTCCCCCGCAATAAGCAGGACTCCTGAGAGCCAGTTCCCACCCTCACATCAGCCTCTGCCCGGCAAGCCTCGCTCGCGGTCCTCAAGGGTGGCCCCAGGCCTCCCCGATGGGCTGCAGGGGCCTCGGCTGGTGTGTGTAGGGGGGGGCAGGGGAAGGCGACGGGCCGTTCGGGAGTCCGCTGGGAGCGCGAGGGGCCGCCGCGAGCCGTTGTCCCATCCTGGGCCCACCTCCGTACCCCGACGACCTCGCCTGGCGGCTCCCACGGTACCTGTGATGGAAGCGGCAGCGGCGGCGGCCGCTCTCCCCTCTCCTCACACAGACAATATGGCGGCGGCGGAGGAGGAGACACACGGCTCGGCCGCCAGCCGCAGGGACCAAAGCGAGGCTGCAGCCGCTGCTGCCGGAAGCGGAAACCCCCTTCCTACCAGGAGGCGGGGCGGGACCGCTTCCGACCCCGCCCCCCGCGGAAGCTGGCTGAGTGCGGCCATGCTGGGACGTGCTAAGGTCTCCCTGCAGGTGCAGTTCCGGGCTGGGGGGAGGGGGGGCCGCAAAATGGGAGAAATTGCCGGTATAAAGCATAACAAAGAGATTTACAGTAATGAAGCGCCTTTTGTTTCAGCACCTGTTGAGAACCGACGAGAGAAAGGAGACTAAATTCCCGGACATGTACAGTTGGTTTGCCCCAAGCTAAGATGGCGGTCCCTATGTTTCCCGCACTTCACCCAGATGACGAGTCGCACCAGTGGACCAGCCAGCCGGCCTTTCTTGAAGCATGCGCGACCTGCGGAGCTGTAGAGCAAAGCATTGTGGGAGTTGAAGTCGGCTACTCCGACCCCTCGTCTAGGGTTAGGGTTCCAGCAGCACGTTTTCTCTGCTCAAACTTTTGAGTTCGCGACAAACGAACGAAAGTTGCACCCTCGGAGGGGTGTGACGCTGGAGTGGAAGGAGGGACGACCCCAGCCCTGTAGAGACTGAGACCCTATTCCTGCTTCCTGCAGAAGACCTATTTAGAACTACCCGTCTAGAAAAAAAGTATTTTCTGCCTTAAGGCTGCCACCCCTCGTGCCCCCGCCCGCCTGGGCAACTTCCTCTAAAGCAGCGACAGAGCACTTTCTATCTTGCAGGCCTGATCACGGCGTCTTCTTGGATTAAAATCTTCCCGGGCTCCCCTTTGTGCACCGAAGATAGCCCGAGTTCTCTTGACATCCAGATTCCTGCATAAATTTGACAGCCCCAACTCCCCCCTTTTTTGACACCGTTTCCCTTTCTAGCCTCCTTTTCTGCACCCAAATTTCTGACGCGTCCACCCGGTAAAAGGGCAAACGATTCCTGGATCTTATCTGTGTTGCCTCTTTTGTCTTTGCACTGGCGGTTACTTGCGTTACTGTCATTTCCTGAACTGGCTAATCAAATTAACTCGGGTCCTTTCTTCTGGGGATCAGTCCCTCCCCTGACCTTCCCCAGACGTCGGAGCCGTCGTCACTCTGCAGCTTGACAGGTCCCTAGCCTGCCTCCTCCATCAGACTGTGAGCCGCCAGTGGACAAGGCTGGGTCTGATGATCACTGCCCTCTGCCCAGGCCCTGCTAAACACTGGTGTGTTACAGAGAAGAATTCAAGTGTTAGCCTCACCTCTGGTGGGGCAGAGGTGTGAGGGCTGGAACAAGGGTGAGGAGACTGGGTTATTTTCGTACCAGCCATTATCCCTGAGCTGCCTCAGAATAGTCACCTGGCCCAGGAACGGGCCTTCCCACCTCCCTCCATCCCTCTTTTCGCAGTTTGTCAGCCTCCTGGCACCTCTGTTCCCAAAGAGACGATCTCCTCCCCTATAGGATGGGGGTGGCTACAGCTGCAGACATACAGCAATGGCCTCAAGGAGGTGGCCAGACAGGCGTGCAGCATTTGACCCAGAGGGCTGGGCATCACAGTAATGGCTTCTGGGTGCTCTCAGGCAGGTCGACCACCTTCCCTGGGCCTGTTTCTCCACCTGTAGACTGAGAAGGTTACACAAGATGATCCCAGGATTTTCGTGAAGAACTTTTTTAGGAAATGACTGGCGTTCCACCTGGCTCTTGGACCCTATTCTTTTGTTTTCTTTGCTTGTTGGCTGTCATGGCTCGTTCGTTCACATGTATTCAGTTCACAGCTAGTAATCACTTGCTCTGAGCCAGACAGTGTTGGGGGTGGGGTATGAGCAAGACAGATACCAATTCCTCGTGGAGCTCACTTTCTAGAGCGAGAAACAAAGAATATGTGGGTAAACAAATGGATAAATGTAGTTTCATGCAGCAGTAATTGCTATGAAGGAAAAAGATAAGTAGCTGCGAAAGAGAATACAAGTGGGAGAGCCTTAACTTGAGGGGTTCAGAAATTCCCTCTGAGAAGAGAGCAGTGAGTACAAAGGTCCTGGGACAGGAAAGAGTTGGATAAGTTTGAGGAAGGAGGCCAGGGTGGCTGAAGCACTATGAGTGAATGGGAGAAGGGGAGGGAATATGGTGGGAGAGGTGGGCGGGGCATATGCAGGCCATGCGGAGGAGTCTGGGAGGAGTCTGGGATTTCACGTGAGAAGAATGGGGATATTTCCCAACGCTTAGCCCTCACACCTTCCCTAAGGCCTCAGCCCCTCCTACGGTGTCAGTTCTTCATTCTTGCACCCACTTCCAGTCTCCATCCGTGACCTCACACAGAGGGCTCACCCAGGCACACACACAGGAATCCTTCGCACTGAGCAGGGCAGAGATGAGCCCCAACAGCTGCTATCTCCCTGGCCAGCCTGGTATAGGTCTATTGTCCCAAGTCCCATTCTCCAAGGTTCCTCTAGTTACCGAGCCTCCGAAGACCAGCTCAGTTATCTTCGTCTCTTATTCTTCCCGACACCCCACATTAGAACCCTCAGTGTAGACTCCCTTCAACAAAAGCAATAATCACAGGTAAGGGTTGAAGTACTTGCCCTGAGCCTCACATCATCTCATTTAATCCTCACATCAGCCTGATGAGGTAGGAACTAAAGTTTTCCACTGTACAGATGAGGAAACTGAGGTGAAGAGAGATTATGAGACAGGACGAAAATCACTTGCATTCCAACATCAGTCATTCTCTCGGCACTAGACCTGAATGTATCAGCTTTCTATTACTGCTTAACAAAGCACCCCAAAACAATTGGTTAAACTAATAATTATTTATTTGCTTATGTGTGGGGCACCTGGGTAGCTCAGTCAGTTAAGCATCCAAATTCAGCTCAGGTCATGATCTCACGGTTTGTAGGTTCACACCCCAGCATCAGGCTCTGTGCTGACAGCTCAGAGCCTGGAGCCTGCTTGGGCTTCTGTGTCTCCCTCCCTCTCTGACCCTCCCCTGCTCGTGCTCTGACTGTCTCTCTCTCTCTCAAAAAAAAAAAAAAAACCCAAAAACCATTATTTGCTTATGTTTGTGTGGATTGGCAGTTGGACACGTCTCAGCAAAGACAGTTCTTTTCTGCCGTGAGTGGTCTTCCTCCCACATTTACAGTCAGAGAGCACATTACAGCCTCCTATGCATGTCTGCCAGTTGCCTGGGCCTGTTGGCTTGAGTGCCTTGGTTCTTCTCCATGTGGCTTCTTCAGCAGCTGGCACGGGTTTCCTCCCATGATGGCCTCCAGAAGGAAAAGAACAAGAAGCCTCTTGAGGCCTGGGCTCAGAAGTGCCAGAACATCCCTTTCGCTGCATTTTACTGAGCAAAGCCTGTCACGTGGCCAGCGCAGCTTCAGGGAGAGTAGAGATAGATTCCGTCTCTAGACGGGAAAAGCCCCAACATCATATTGCAAAGGGTCATGTGTGCCAGGATGTGAGGATGGTGGCGGCTGTCTCGGCAAACATCCCGCACTAAGTGACCTTATGGGTGGAGCTGGTTAAATAAACGATTGCACAGCTACACGTGGAGCTACTCACAACGAGGGCTACTATTTTTTGAGTGGTTAGTATGTGCCAGGCACTATGCAAGATGACTTGTATGTGTGAACTCAGTTAATCCTCATAGTCGCTCTGTGGGGCCACTACATTTTATTTTATTTTATTTCATTTTATTTTATTCTATTCTATTCTACTCTATTCTATTCTATTTTTATTTTTTTGCCACGACATTCTAATCCCCATTTAGAGATTAAGCACACCAAGATTCAGAGACGCTAAACAACCTGTGCAGGGTCATACAGCTAGTCTGTGGCAAAGCTGTTTTAAAAAAGTGACAATATAATATCCTGATGTGGAAAGCTGGTTCTCTCATACTGTCATGTGATGAAAAGCAAGAGAGGAAACAGAGGTTTAGTCAGAACACATTTTATTTCATTTTTTTAACTTAAATTCTTTTTCAGGTTTATTTAGATTTGAGAGACAAGGAAAGCACAAGCAGGGGAGGGTCAGAGAGAGAGGGAGACAGAGGATCCAAACAGGCTCTGAGCTGTCAGCACAGAGCCCCATGTGGGGCCTGAACTCACAAACAGTGAGATCATGACCTGAGCCAAAGTTGGACACCTAACCAACTGAGCCACCCAGGCGCCCCTCGTCAGAACACATTTTAAAAGCACATGTAAAAATGGGTAGATGTAGGAGTGCCTGAGAGACCAAGTCGGTTGAGTATCTAACTCTTGATTTTAGCTCAGGTCATGATCTCATGGTTGTGACATTGAGCCCCTCCTTGGGCTCTGGGCTGAAAGCAGAGCCTGCTTAAAATTCTCTCTCTCTCTCTCTCTCTCTGCCCTTCCCCCACTCATGCACACACACTCTCTCTCAAGTTAAAAAAATAAAATAAATAAATAAAAGTGGGTAGATGTATACATGTTATATAGTCGCAGACAACGCCCAGGAACGATCTACCACAAACTATTAATGGAGCTTATCTCAGAAGAGAGGAAGAGGAGGGAACTTTTGCTTTGAACGCTTCCGTCTGTGCTGCACAAATTTTTTTCTTTGAATTTTTTTTGGTGACAAACACAAATGTTTATTTCGATACTCCACAAAGAAAACGTGTTTTAAAATGTCCTTCAACTTGTCTCTCACCTCTGTCTTTTTCTGTTTGGTTGTGTTAATGTTTACTGTTCCCCACCCCCTTTCTTTGACAGGCTCCAGCCCAGTCCCTTATCAGCTCTGGCCTGAAGTTTTGTAACTACCTCCAGGAGCCCCTCCTGTCTCCCTGTCCCACACATCCTGTGCCACACTGCCACTGGAGGAAAGTTTATTAACCGCTTTGTTCCTTTCTTGCTCAAGAGTTTTCAGTGGTTATTTCATTGCCTTCAGGGTAGTCCAAACCGTTTGGCCTGGTGGCCCTGACATTGGTAAATTTGACTCCAGCTTGGTTGGATTCCAGCTCTGGCGTTTACTGGCAGCGTAACCTCAGACAAGTTATTTGATCTCTCTGAGCCCTGGTTTCCTCATCTGTTAAGGGAGAAAGAGAAAAGAAGAAAGGAAGGAAGGAGGAAAGAAAGAGCTAGCAAAAGAGACGAAGGAGGGGAGAAAGAAAGAAAGAGAGAGAAAAAAAGAAGGAAGGAAGGAAGGAAGGAAGGAAGGAAGGAAGGAAGGAAGGGAGGGAGGGAGGGAGGGAAGGAAAGACAGAAAGCAAAGAAGGAAGGAAGGAAAGAAAGAAGAGAAGATGGGGGCGCCTGGGTGGCTCAGTCAGTTAAGTGTCTGACTTCGGCTCAGGTCATGATCTCGCAGTTCGTGGGTTCGACCCTGCATCGGGCTCTGTGCTGACAGCCAGCTTAGAGCCTGGAGCCTGTTTCAGATTCTGTATCTCCCCCTCTCTCTGACCCTTCCCTGCTCACGCTGTCTCTTTCTCTCTCAGAAATAAATAAAACATTAATTTTTTTTTTCAAAAGAAAGAAGAGAGGATGGAGCATGAAATACCTTATGGCAAATTAGGTTACTATTTAGGGACTGCCACGCTACCCCCCGCAAGGACTGGTTATATCCCTACTCCATTGATACTAAGCTTGGCCACCCGATTTGCTTCGGCCAGTGCAATGTAGATGAAAGTGACAATGTGCAAGAGCCTTAAGAGGTTTCATGTTTTCATGTGTCCACCTGGGAATTTCTAACTCTACCATAAGGATGGGGCTATGCATCTTTTGAAACAGAGTCCCAGTTCTTTTTTTTATGATTTATTTTTTATATTTAAGAGACAGAGCATGAGTGGGGGAGGGTCAGAGAGAGAGGGAGACACAGAATCCGAAGCAGGCTCCAGGCTCTGAGCTGTCAGCCCAGAGCCCGACGCTGGGGCGTGAACCCACGAACCATGAGATCATAGCTTGAGCCGAAGTTGTACGCTTAACCGACTGAGCCACCCGGGCACCCTGAAAGAGT